GACCTGCGGGTCCTCCTGGAGCTGGAGCTGCTGAGGGCGTTCGTGCTGAGCCTGCTGCTGTTGGTCCTGCCGCTGGAGGTGTGGGTGGCGCTGGTGCTGTCGCTGAGGGTGCTGGTGCTGTCCCTGTTGAGTCTGGAGCTGCCGCGCGGCCTCGGCCGTACTTCGTTCCGCTCCTGCAGCAGGTTCTTGGTCTTTCTCCTCCAGTAGAGGGTCCACCGCCTGTCCAGTCGCAGTCCCTACTGGAGCCTTCCTCTCCACTGCCTGCTCCCTCTCCTTACACTGGTCCTACTGCAGGTCTTGCTGAGCGTCGTGAGCCTGCGTCTCGTCCCGCGTCGCCTGTTCGTGCTGCTCGCGCTAGTGGTCGCAGTTCGCGTCAGCGTCCTCCTCCTGTCCCTGGCACGGACCGGATGTCTCTGCGTCCGTCCACTGCTCCTCTGCGTGCCCCTTTGCCTTCTCCTCCTGAGTCCTCTCTTCCTGCGCTTGCCGACCCTGAGTCGGACTCTCTTCGCGCTGCGAGTCCTACTGTCACGCGTCTGCTTGCTACTGTCGTCACTGACCCCTCTTTTGAGTCCACTGCTGCGTCTACTCTGGTCGCTGAGCTCGTTGACTTTGCTGCTCGCTGTCGTCTCGACTACGCTGCTAGTCTTGTTGCTGAGTCTGCGTCTGTCTGTCCTCCGTCCGTCGGGGGTGAGTGTGCTCTTGGCACGGACGTCCTAGAGGACAGGCAGGAGGAGTTACAGTGTCTAGCGGCTGCTTCACCTCATCTCGCGTCTGTACTGCTTGCCCCTGAGGGAGACCCGGATGCACTAGACATCCCGACTTCGCGTTCTTACGCGGAGGCCGTAGAGGGTCCCTACTCCTCTCACTGGCAGGCAGCTATTGATGCAGAGATGGCTTCCTGGAAGTCCACAGGCACCTACGTTGACGCGGTTCCCCCTCCTGGGGCGAACATCGTCAGTGGCATGTGGATCTTCAGGGTGAAGCGGCCGCCGGGCTCTCCACCTGTCTTCAAGGCACGGTACGTTGCTCGTGGCTTCAGTCAGCGGCAGGGAGTTGACTACTTTCAGACCTTCTCTCCCACCCCGAAGATGACTACTCTTCGGGTGCTGCTGCACATAGCCGCTCAGCGCGACTACGAGCTTCACTCTCTCGACTTCAGCACTGCGTTCTTGCAGGGTAGCCTGCACGAGGAGATCTGGCTGCGCCGTCCACCTGGCTTCACTGGGACTTTCCCTCCTGGCACCCAGTGGAGCCTCCGACGGCCAGTCTACGGTCTCCGCCAGGCACCGCGTGAGTGGCACGACACACTGAGGACTACGCTTGCGGCTCTTGGGTTTGCTCCTTATACTGCCGACCCGTCGCTGTTTCTTCGCACCGACACTTCCCTGCCGCCGTTCTACATCCTCGTGTACGTCGACGACTTGGTCTTTGCCACAGCGGACACTGCTGGACTCGCCTACGTGAAGTCCGAGCTACTAAAGAGACACACGTGCACAGACCTGGGTGAACTGCGCAGCTACCTTGGCTTGCAGATCACTCGGGACAGAGCACGCCGCACCATTACCTTGACTCAGTCACACATGGTGCAGCAGGTCCTTCAGCGCTTCGGCTTCACGTACTCCTCGCCTCAGGCCACTCCTCTGCCTACTCGCCACTCACTCTCAGCTCTGCCTTCGGATGAGTCCGTAGAGTCGAGTGGTCCGTATGCAGAGCTTGTTGGCTGCCTCATGTACCTGATGACCTGCACACGACCTGACCTTGCATACCCTCTGAGCATTCTTGCACGCTATGTTGCTCCTGGGAGACACAGACCGGAGCACATGGCTGCAGCGAAGAGGGTATTGCGCTACCTGTGCAGTACGTCAGGCATGGGGCTAGTGCTTGGAGGGCGGAGTCCAGTGGTCCTTACCGGCCACGCGGACGCTTCTTGGGCTGACGACCAGGCTACGCAGCGGTCGTCACAGGGTTACACCTTCAGCCTTGGTTCCGGCTCTGTCTCGTGGCGGTCTACTTGCTCGTCTTCGGTTCTCGGCTCCAGTTGTGAGGCTGAGATCTACGCCGGGGCCATGGCTGCTCAGGAGCTTCGCTGGCTCACCTACCTGCTGACTGACCTCGGAGAGCCGCCTCGTTCTTCTCCAGTGCTGTACGTAGACAACAAGGCTATGCTGGCCTTGTGTCGAGAGCAGCGCTTGGAGCACAGAACGAAGCACATTGCTCTCCGCTACTTCCTTGCTCGTGAGCTGCAGCAGCGTGGTCAGTTGCGACTTGCGTACGTGGCCTCTGAGGCCAACACTGCTGATGTGTTCACCAAGGCACTCGCGCCTTGTGACCATCAGCGCTTTTGCACCCAGCTGGGTCTTGTGCCTGTCTTGCCTCACTTGCTCTCCTCTTGACTTCACTTGTACTGTGACATATATATTTGCCTGCTCTTTTTGTCTAGTTTTATATATATGTCTGCACTCCTGCATGTGAACTGGCCTCTGGCCCTACTCTTGTGCTCGGACTGTGTGGTGACTTTGTGATCCACCCTGAGCTTGCTTTGCTTTGCTTGACTGGTCTTGTGACCCCTTGTTCTCCCCCACTTTGCCTATGGGGGTGTGTCAGATTTATATGACATAGTTGCTGTAGGCTATAGTGGGGTAGCACATATGGGGTACAGGGTTTCTAGGGTTGTATTTGTACCCATTCTTTCCTTAGTCATTCATCATTCCTGTTTTCCTTGCTTCACATCCCCTTCAGCTTCTTGAAACTTAATATCTGAGTATGCTTTCCTGGCAGGGAAATGTTTCCTGCTAAACCCGTCTCGAGAGGCTCAACGCCAGAAAACGCAGAGCTCCATGGATTGTCCTGCAGGATTGTCAATCTGACGGCTGAGATGAACTCAAAGATGAACAGCATGATGCTGCTGCTGCGGGCAGTAAAGTGGGAAGTTGAGGCCGGTAGTAGGGTAAAGCAGGAGCAGAGAGAGTCCAACGAGGGTGCCGAGCTCAAGGGTGGACTAGATGAGTTGGTTACACCAGGCATGGGGGAGACGGGGGTACAGGCTCCAGGCATGAGGGAGAGGGGGGTACAGGCAGAGGTGCGGGATGAAGGGAGGCATCGGGATGAGTTGTCTGAGTCGGGAAGGCGTTTTCTGGAAGAGGTGGTGGAGGAGTATAGTCGGGAGATGGAACAGATGGGGAAGCGGAAGAAGATGGGGGAAAGGGAGGAGACGGAGGAGGTGGAGAGTACGAAGGGTGACGTGGAGAGGTTGAGGAATGTGGTGGCAGGAAGGGCGGAAGTAGAGGAGGAAAGGGAAATTTCCATCAATAGCCTGAGGAAGGAGGTGGAAGGTCTCAAGTGCGACAGCAGATATGGAATGAAGTGCCTGGACGAGCTGAGGGCTGAGATGAAGGCAGAAATGGCTGTGCTGGTGGCGCAGAGGGAGAGGATATTTTTTGGCAAGTTGGATGAGTTGAGGGTTGAGATGGAAGAGGGAAGGGCGGAGGAGGTAGGGAGGATGAGGGAGTTGAGAGAGGTGGAAAATGAGAAGGCAGAGGTGGCAGAGAGGTTGAGTGAGATGCAGCATCGGGTGGAGGAGGGGAGGATGGAGGCAAGCACCCGTGCGGCCAGTGCATTGGAGGACCGGGAGAGGGTGGATGGATTGAGCGTTCGGCTGGATGGATGGAGCGTTCGGCTGGAGAACTTCCGGGAAGTTACCATGAGGGTTGAGGGGGAAATCCGAGCTCTGTGAGAGGTGAGCATTCGATTTGGCACTTTTCGCAGTAAATACTTTGTGCAACATTTTCGCCAGTGTCCCTTTTCCATGAACCCATCCCCAATTTTACCACTCAGAAATGCATCATCTCCTGTTTCAACAATCACAGTTGTTACCAGTCAACATCAGTGGTGTCATGTGCATGTGATTCGTGCCATCGGCAATCTTTTCCCTCTCCGCACCTGCAGTTTGTCTCAAGTCCTCCAGGATGGACCGTCTCATTCTGCCTTGTGTTTTCCTCTCTTCAGGCATTTCACAGTGTTGGGCTGTGAGGGAAGCGTTGTAAATACAAGTATCAGCATCAATCCTCATCATCAATCTGCGTCATGTGGCTTGAACCTGCGCAACAGTCATGTCTTGGATTGGAGTCAGTGGCATCTGACTGGGATTTTGTCCTGAGATTTTCTTTTTTGATACATGATAATGTTCTTAGAGCGTGTTCCTACGGGGCCCCTATCAGACCACCTCTAGTCAGACTCGCCCCAATCACGTATTTCTCAGTGTAAGGCGAATTCGTATTGGGCACTTTTGTGGTCTTGCAACGTGCGTGAAAATATATAGCATGGGTGATGTGCCACGTGGATCGCGAACAGCTTTCCTGTACTGCCCGAACATCGGGGCAAGGGAGTTCAGTTTGAGAAGAACCGCCATGAACCGAATTACATTCTGGCATTCCATCGAATCGTGAACAAATTGCTAGTGACACTGTACTTTTTCGGCCAGCTGAAAAACAAACTGTAGCCCCACTCTCGACAAAATTGACCTGTTCAGCGCAGGTCCTCGGTGTGGCTTGCTGATGTGGCACGATTGAGAGGTTTCGCGCGCACCTCCACATTTCGCACAACACAAGTCTGAAATTCGAGTTCTATATCGAAATCCTGAGTTTGACCAAAACTGATATGAGGTAGGCCTGAAATAGCCCGTAGGAACATGCTATTAGAGAGGACTTTGCCATTGGAAAGCTTACCCTGGACTACATACCGGTACCGTAAGTGTAAAGATGGGGGTCCTATTACCTTTAACACCTATCGGTGATAGAAGACCTATACTGATGGGCTGTATATGCTGAGGGTGACGGTATGTACCGTATGATGCAGAACTCTGTGCAAGCTACTTTAGGGAGTGAAGTGAAGGTATGTATGATGTGTACATGTACCATATCACAGAACTGTTCAAGCTAGCGTATACTGAATGAAGGAGAAATGACACAGCTTCAAACCATATTACGGCAATATGACAGCCTCTAGATCCTACCTCGCGCTTTACCTTGAAACTTGGCTCGCAACGGCTTTTCAGGGTCACAATTCCCTGACTCAAAAGCGGCCATGGGTCTATTAGCATAATACACAGCTGTGCTCGAGTAACCAGACACGGAAATAACGTACGCATCGCACGAGGCCAACAGCAGCCACTCTGTTACCAGCTCTTGGAACAAACGCTCCTGCTCGCGCTTTGTATCTCCCTTCTCTCCCTCCACTTGCCCGTCAACCTCCCCTGGGCTTGGAGTGGAAGAGCCATTACCAATGCTGCCAACAGAGCTGGAGCTCAGACTATTCGCATGCCGAGGTATGAAGTCGGTAGTGATAACCTGGCAGGGTCAGCGGAAGAAGAGAGCGAGGAAGAAAGAAGGTGGAAAGAAGAGGAGAATAGCAGGTTTTCAGGGCAGCGTGATACATCAATAACCACGCGCGTCATTCCCAGAAAAGAGCCTTGGAAATGGCCGCCAAGAGCGTCATTCTTAGAAGAGAGCCTTGGCAAGGGCAGCCGAGAGCTGGCTCTCCCACCTCCCTTCTCCCCCCTGGTCCCTCTGTCCTCCCTCCACTGCACCTTCCTTCCCACCAGTGATACACCCCCACCCCCCCCCCCCCCCCCCCCACCCCACCCCCCCCACCCCTCCACACACACACACCCCTCTCACACACCTTGTAGGGAAACCTAGATTTGAGGGCAGCCTTGAGCTGCGCTGAGTTGGTGATGAGCATCCATCGCACCGCAACGGACGACGGGAACCAGTACGATTCCACACGCTGGAGGCACGGGGAAACAGGGCGAGCAAGTGGCACGGGGAAACAGGGCGAGCAGCAAGTGTCTAGGAAGGTTCGTAAGTGGACGCGAGGAGAAATGAGGGATGGCGAAGGTAGTCAGGAGGACGGAACCATATCCGCTTGCGCACCCTTGGGGTTGGAAAATGAGAGGTCCAGGGAATAAGGTGGTGAGATAAGATACACGAAACCTTTCCCTGCCCAATGTTCCCACTCCCAACTTCCCCATCCCCCCTCCTCTCCACTCACCTGCGCGCACACAATCCATTTCCGGGCGCCAGCAATGAGCACGTCCACCTGCTTCGCACTGAGCTCCTTGGGCGCCCCCCTGTCGCCCGCCCACACCACCCGGTCGCGCACGCGGATGTGGATCCCCACTGTTGCCACCCGGGGCCTCCCCGCGCCTGCCTTCCCCGCCCACGACCTCCTCCGCAGGCGCCGCTCTATGCTGTGGAACAGCGCTTGCACCTCTGGCTTGGGACTGGAGGAGGGTTTGCAGGGGAGGAGAGAGAAAGCGGGGAGCGGGGAGGATGGAGGGGGAAGAGGGAGAGGGTGAAGGGTGAACGCGCCGAGGGAGAGAGTGAGAACAGAATGCAAAAAAGAGACGATAGACAGGTAGGAGAGGAGGGGATGGAAAGTGGAACAACTGTCCGAGAAGGGAATGTGTGTGATGAGTCGATTTTTGAGTCGACTCAAAAGCCAACTGTCCAAGAAGGGAACGGACTCCAATAATTCCCTTCACACACCACTCTCCTCTCTCTCTTGCCCCTTCCCTTCCTTCCACCCCTTTACCGCATGAGGAACCGCAGAGATCATCCGAGCGTAATGAGTCTGTTTTCGAGTCGACTCAAAACTTCCCCCTTCCTTTCTTTCCCCCTTCCTTACCGCATGAGGAACCGCAACGAGCATCCGAGCGCGTATGGCAGCCGCATACCCATCGCCTTAAACCTCTCCGCCCACTCCCCCTTCGCCCTCGTCTGCAGCCACGTCAGCACGCCGCGGTTGCTCGTCATGCGAACGTTCACCGCGCCTTCCAGCTCCTTAAAAAATGGCTCGATCCGCACGAACTTATCCCGCAGCCACACCAGCACCACCTCCCCGTCGCGCGCGCGCTCCGGGACCACCCTTCCCCAGCCATAGTCCACCAACGTGAGGTTCCGCGCAGGTTCCAAAGGCACGAACGGGCCGGGCTCCCAGTTGATCATGCTGGGTTCGAAAGCTTTGGGAAGGCAGTGGTTTCGGACTATAAGCGCGCGATTGTCGAGTATAGCCACGACTAATGCGGTTACCAGCCCCGCGAGAACGTCCGCGAAGCCGCCACAGCCGTCCAACCACTCGAATGTGAGGAAACGAACGGGCGGATCCAGCCGTCCATCTGTCATCAGCTCAGCAGGCTGCTGGTCTATCCCATACGGCTTCAAAACAGGTGTCCCGAACGACACTTCCTCTTCGTTCTCCCTTGATTTCTCCGCCTGTTGCTGTGTCAAGTACGCTTTTAAGGCGCGCGCGCGTATTCGGCTGTGCAATGCGGCGTAGTCACTAGCCCAAGTCCCGCATAACCCGTGCGCTTCGGAGAAATTGAAGTCCAAAGAGCGCGGCATGCGAGTCTGTTTTTCGAGATCAGAGACAAAAAACAGATGTAGCTGAGAATTGTTAAAAAACAAATAGCGCAGCGTGCGAGTCTGTCGCAACTGACGCTCCTATCATCGGCAGGTGAATGCGGGCATGAAGGAGAAAAACGCGAACGACGGAACAACACGAAGCAAATTAGCAAGGAAGCGTTCAACGGCAACGCGTGGGTGAGAGTGTGAGGGCGGAAGGAGAAAGAGGGCGGAAAGGGGGAGGGAAGAGGGGAAGGAGTGAGTAAGGGAAGGAGGTGGAGAAAGGGGGATGGATGCAGAGTACGTTTCGCAGACCTGAGGGAAAGGAGGTCGGCGACGTTCAGACCTGATGTTGCAGAGTATGTTTAGCAGTTTCCTGGTTCGGTGCTTATGGGAATAGTCGGGGCGCTTCAAAGATTCTTGATTCTTTACCTTGATGCGCTGGGATGTGGTCAACGAGGCAAACGCGAGAACGAAGTGCAGAACAACGAGCAGCCGCACAGTCGACCCGGGAAACGCCATTATCCAGAGTGTATCTGGTTGTCCAAAGTGTGTGCTAGATGTCGCTGAGTCAGATGTCGCGCTGCGTTAGATGTCGCGGAGAGAGAAATATTGAACACGGAAGGCTGGCGAAAAAAATGCTCTGGGACTCCAGGATGAGAAGGGGATTTCGACATCGAGAAGAGTCAACGTTGGATTACTTTCAGGCTCCGTCGAGTTGGGCTGACGTAGCAGAGATGCGATGCGAGGTGTTCACTCGCTCTTCACTGACATGTGATAAGACGGATGATAAATAATGCCGCCTTTTCCCAGCCTCGACATCCAAAACGTTTCCCTCCTGCACACTTCTGGGCATGGATCCTGTGCAGACAAAGTTTCTGACAAAACCTGCGTCGCGTCGCGGGAAATTTGTTGCCTCCACACACGACTGTGTCCAACAAATGATACTCGGTTCGATGAGATTGTTTGCGTTCCAGAGCGTTCACAAAAGCTTTGCCGTCCTTCACTCGCGATTTGGGTGGGTAACCTTCTGACACAACCAGAGCGTCTCGGAGAGTCCACCCAGAACGAGGCTTACAGTCGGTGCCCATTTCAAGAACACCAGGTAGGCAGGCGGCATGTGCAAAAGTGTTCGAAGCGCTTCGCCAATTTCGCCCTTGTCGCCACGGGCAAAAATGTGACAGTAATATGAAATTACAACGTGAATCAAGTCAAGGGCTTCGTAACCAGGCTAAGTTCTCTGATGACGGGCAACCGTTGTTGTTTATGAACTGTAGATGTTTTTTCTTCCTCAACTTGGTGACTGTACCCCAAAATCGGCACAATGGTCAATTTAGTCACTCACGGGCAAAACGTTCGCGTGTGACTAAATTTCTAACTAAGAAGAGCAAATGTTCTGTAATAGGCTGAGCATCGACTGTACTCGTCTTCAACATCAGTCACATACACATCCCATTACTGGAAACGGAAGTTTTGCATTTCGCATCAGACTTTTACTCTGAAATTTCAGATTTTTTTTTACCAAGTCTGATTGATTAGACAGAATATGTGTACTAAGTCTGATGAATCAGACAACCCAAAAACGAATCTGAGGGCCTGGTCACACACACCCATTCATGCCAATACAATCTTGACAAATTGAAACTGTACGCCACGTATTTTTAGAGTAATGCCTCCGCATGGGTGTGCACCGCACTCCTTTATTTGTTGTGTGATCTTTTTTGTTAGTTACCATATGTGAAATGATAAACGACTATATGGTTTGAGAAATGCCGATGCTTTGCTTTAATGACACGTGATCAAGTATGCCCAATAAATGACATTTGCAATTCCTCATGGTTCCTCATTTGTCAGAAAAACTCGAAACGGGCCACTATATGACCCACTCGGACGAAATATTGCTGATAAGGCTTGTTGGGAATATAAACGCATGACTTAGTACGTTTCTGTAGTATCGAACCTCACCCGATACTGAAGCACAACAAAAGGAGTATGAAGTCGAAAAGGCGCGTACCACATCAAACCGCAACTGGAAGTTGCGAGCCGTAACCGCCTGGAGGTTACGCAACAGCAGGCGACGCTTCAGTGAACAGTAACCGCCTCGATAGTCGAAGCGTTACGCGTCTCGATAAACATAACCGCTTCCTGTAATCTATCTTTTCTATATATTCCTGTATGCTCTTTGCTTTAATCAATTACTTGTTCTCACATACCAGCACAAGTACATTCACTCAATTCTTCCGCTGTGCTACTCTAGCACCTACTAGCCTATTCTCTGCAAAGATCCTAAGGCTGAAATTCTCAGCCCAACATGGTATGAGAGCAGTCAGAGAACAAAGGCTCTCGTCACTAAGCCTCTTCTAGGCTACCGATCTGCAAGCAACCAAGAAGTTCAATCTTCATTCAAGAAAAGCAAGACATGGCAAGTGGCAAAGAAAGAAGATCATCTACGGGATCTACTCTACCCCCGGTCTCCAAGTTGCAGACCGAAGGAGGAACAACGCCCGGATTAACGCCGGAAGCGACGGAACGTTCTACTCAAGCGCCAGTAGCGCCGCCAACAATCTTCAACCCAAGCTTAATGGAGGAGTTCTTCAACTTCATGTCGCAGCAGCAGTCCTCACAACCTGCAAATAGCAACAGCGTAAACAACGAAGCGGCACCAATGAGTATTGACAACTCATCGTTCGGACGACATAATCAACAAACACCAAATTCGGTCTCACCTGGTTCCTTCACGTTCATGCCACCTCGCCGTCCAGCGACCCCTCTTCCCGCCATCAAACGAGACACCGAAGAAGTCCTGCAAGAACAAGCACAGTTCAACAACATCCTGCGACTGCACACATCCACACCATTCAACGGGAAGGACTTCTACTCTGGGAGCTTCGAGTTTGAACTCCTGATGGAAGGCGCGAATCTTCTTGGATTCTTCAACGGTACCTGGCCATATCCACACAACGGCGAAGACAAAGACAAAGAAAATTATACGTATCACTCCCTGATGGCTTACACCGTTCTTCTCCGAAACTTGTCGCCGAACGAACAACAAAGCATCCGCGCCTACCGGAACTACGCAAACTCCGCGGAACTCGCCTATCAACATCTGCGAAGCATTCATCAAGCATCCGACAGCGTTACACAAAGCCGACTCATGGCACAACTGACAACAGTTCAAATGCAACCTGGAGAAAAGGCCATGCCTTACATCAGTCGCTGTCAAGGACTACGCGACAGACTTATTCGCTGCGGAGGAAACTTATCTGAAGAAGCTTTCGTAACCGTCGTTCTTGCCGGCCTTGGACCTCAATGGCGCACCACCCGTTCACTTCTTCGCGCTCACGGTCGACTCTCCGAAATGCATCTCTGCGCCGAACTTCACGCCGAGCAGCAGGAAATGGACCTGTTCGAAGAACGCAACAACAAAAGGCATCATCGACCAGTTGTTCTTTACACCAATCGACGATAGCCACGTTACCAAAACCGAGGACACGTACCTCCTTATTGTCATCTGTGTCGGACTTCAGGACACACACACTTCAACTGCCCTCAGCAACAACGACAACCAGCACCATTCTCTCGTCCTCTGCGACCCGCGCCTCCCCACATCGCGTCAACTCAACAACGACCCGCTACCGCCTCAACGACTACTTCAACGCGACCGTCAACTTCCACTTCGGGACCTGCACAGACATCAAGAATCGTCGCCATGACACGAACAACAGAGTCAAACATCGACTTGTCTATTACCGGCTCACCACCGACTTACAGTCCTGATGAGCAACCGTCACAACCACCGTCGTCCCTTAACGTGAATCCAACGTACGCCGCCATCGCGAACAGAGCACCCACCGGACCAGACACATGGTTCCTCGACAGCTGTTGCGGTCATCACATGTGCTCTTCATCACGATTTCTTCAGCGCGAACGACGTCTTCCGCGAGACGTCATCATCACCGTCGCCAACAACGAAAACCTGCGCACCAACAAACAAGGAGTCGTGGAGCTTCAGTCAAACGAAACAAACGTTATCCTTCAACTAAACAAAGTACTCGTTGTCGACAACCTCGGCTTCAACTTACTGAGCGTCAGCCAACTCATGTCGAAAGGCGTTCACCTGGAGTGCGACTCCGACGCCCTGGAAATCCGTCTTTACCACAGAAAAGGGGGGGTCTTCATCGGCCGCGCAATCCAACAAGATGACGTGTTCGTCCTCGATTTCGTCCCTGACAAAGGCACCGCAGACAGCGACGGCACAGTCGCTCTTGCACCTTGGACGCATCCGCCAGACCTCGACCCGAACTTCTGTCCTGAAGGCTTCTGGTACTCTCGTACCATTCCCGAAGCTGAACGCACCAACGCGCTTGCCGTCCTGCAAACACAAGCAACAACACCTGAGTCAGCACCCGTCATCAAAACAACAACTGAACCCGTCACAGCACCAACAACCACCGAACCTGCAGTTGAAGAACCAACCGTCGTCGCGGAACAACCTTCCGAAACTCCACAGCCTGGTCCCTCCGTCGCACCACCACCTCTCATCATCGACACGCCACCGACAGCTGCCCAACAGTTAACGCCAGCACCACGCGCCGTTCATCGAAGTGCAGCAACACACGCCGCCTTTTTCGCTAACGCAGACTTCTATCAACGCTCCGTCGGTCACAGCGCCTCCGAAGACATCTGGCATCAACGTCTTGGACATCCTGGAAATAAAACACTTTACAACACAATACGAGCCGGAGTGTTAGACAAGAACGCCCTACTTCTTCCCAACGGACGTGAACTCGAACGACCACGCGGCACTTGCTTCATCTGCCCGGAAGCAGATCTGCCTCACCAACCATTCCCGTCACATCACAACCCGAGCGCCCCCGTTTATCAACCACTCGAGAAAGTCTACAGCGACATCCTCTACATACCTTGAACTGAAGGACGTGAAGATCTGAACTACGTCATCACCTTCATCGACGCCGCAACGCGATATGTCTGGCACGTCA